ATAGATACCAAGCAGGCCATCTATCACCCACTAATGCAAGCATTTACTCACATATGTAGCATGCCTCCCTGAATTTTGGGTGTTTACAATCTTGTAGACTATTTCTAAATACTATTGATTTCATCTCATATGCTTACAATTTTTCTTAATTTCAGTTTTAAAAGGTAAATTAAGTTCATTTTGGGAGTTACCTTATTGTTGCCCAACATACCATTTACATGAATTTTTCATGTACTCTTTGCAGATTATTTCTTTCTCATTATTTCAATGATCTCACTTACTAGACAGTCCAATCACAATCCAGTCAATATTATATAATGTTAAGAGCCCTGAAGACCAAACTGTGCTGTTGGGAATGTTATTTAACCTCAGTATCCTTATCTATCTCAGAATGTTGTTTTAAAGATAAAATGAGGTTATTAAAAAATGAGGTTATTACCATGGCAAGTAAACTGCATAACATGGTGCTTGGCAAATAGTAATTTTTTATTACTTACATTATTAGTTTTCAGGCTAGAAATTTTATGTAGTTTTTTAAATTATATTTGAATTTTCCCAAATATTTGTTAGCAAATATTTGTTATCTACCTACAAATCATCAAAAAACTAATATTTTAATAGTGGAGACAACCTGCAATTAATTAAACAGTGTTTAATATACTCTTGGGTGAGATGCCTGCGTGGCTCAGGTCATGATCTCTGGGTCCTGGGATCCCTGCTCAGGCGAGAGTCTGATTCTCCCTCTCCCTTTGCCCCTCTCTCTGCTCATGCTCCCTCTCTCTCAAATAAATAAAATTAAAATATATATATATATATATACTCTTGGGTATAGAGCGAGGGTAATGAAGTGGACTGAAGAAAAATAAAGCAAGGGCAGCTCTCGTGGCTCAACAGGTTTAGCGCTGCCTCCAGCCCAGCGTGTGATCCCGGAGACCTGGGATCGGGTTCCGCGTCGGGCTCCCTGTATGGAGCCTGCTTCTCCCTCTGCCTGTGTCTCTGCCTCTCTCTCTCTCTCTGTGTGTCTCTATGACTAAATAAATAAAATGTTAAAAAAAGAAAAAGAAAAACAAAGCAAAGTAAGGAGATAAAGAGTAATGAGCATGCTAACTTAGGGTAGTAAAGGGAGTCTTCCCTTAGGAGATGGCATCAGAACAGAGACCTGAGTGAAAAGAGGGAAGGAACTATGTTACTGTCTCATTTATTAGATGAATGAGTGCTTGTTATGGTGTTTGTTAGCTGCATCCTTTTGGTTCTTAGTCACACTTCTTTATATGGGTACTGAACTATTTATATTTCTATGACTTAGGATGCCAAGCAGATTTTACAGTCCAGGAAGGAAGTGACTGGGCTTTCCATGTGCTTTAAATATCTGCCTGTGATTACACATTTCCCATTACTGACTTAGTACTTGGTTTGTCAGTTCTGTAAATGAATTCAGTATTAGAAGTCCTTTGAAAAGGAAGAGACATTTGGAAGAATCTATCAAAAGAAAGCTGCTATGGTATGGAGGAAAGAATCTTGAGTCAAGAGAATTGGGTTTGACATCCACCGGCTGTGTGGATTTGCGTGTCCCCTAACTTTATTGCATTTGTTTCTTTATCTATAAAATGAGGATGATAATGCATAATTCACATAATTGTTGTAAAAGTCGAATGAAGTAATTGATATGAAAAATGGTTGGTATGTTATAGGAAATTGATAAATGTTACTTGACTTTGAAAGCTTAAAGTATCCTTAAAGCTTATGGGCTGGGGTTGGATCTCTGCATAAAAGAATTCTTAGGCATATTAGACCAAACTAGAAAGTAGAAGAAAATCATGTTACTACAATGTTACAGCATGATAATTATAATTAACATCGAGTGTTCACTGGTTTTTTTTTTTTTTGAGGGTTCACTATGTTCTAAGAACTATTCTAAGCATGTTACATAGATTAACTCACTTATTTCTCACACTAATCATAGAGGTACTATTATTCTGGCCCTCTAACTCATGACAAAAATGAAGGACAAAGATGGGGTTCCTGGCTGGCTCAGTCAGTAGAGCATGCAACTCTTAATCTCAGGGTCTTGAGTTCAAGCCCCATGGTGGGTGTGGAGACTACTTAAAAATTTTTTTTTAAATGAGGCACAGGGATGCCTGGGTGGCTCAGCGGTTGAGCATCTGCCTTTGGCTCAGGGTGTGATTCCAGGTCCGGGGATCAAGTCCCACATTGAGCTACCTGCAAGGAGCCTGCTTCTCTCTCTCTCTGCCTATGTCTCTGCCTCTCTCTTTCATAAATAAATAAATCTTTAAAAAAAATTATCAAAAAAAATGAGGCACAAAGAGATGAAATAATCCGCATACAGTCATATAGTAGGTAGTAGGATTTGGATTACAAATTAGATAATTTGATATTACAGCTCATGTTCTTAAATACTAAACTAGGCAACCATAATTTAAAAGATTACTTATCCTGTCCGAAGCCATCACCTTAGGTCTTTCTTAAAGGAACATCACTGTAGAAAGTGATAGTAACAAAAAAATAGAGTTTAAGGTATGAGCAAGTTTAAAAAGAGAGTGAATAAGGTTAAAAAAAAACAAAACAAAACCCCCAAAACTCAATGTTAATGTTAGAGGTTGCTTTAGATTATATCTAAAGTTAACAGCCACTACTGTAATATTTTACTTTATTATGCAATTTCGTATCTTCTGTCGGAAGATCTACTCATTTTAAGAAAAATGGTTGCTTAATGCTGATCAGAGACTAAGAAAGGCTAAAGAAGGCATCAAATAAGGACAGATTGCCTAAAATTCCAGGCATTAAAAAAAAAAATCCCGGAAAGTAGAGCAATAATATTTTTGAAGGATTGATTATAACAGATGTGATCAATTTGAACCATAGTTGAACAATGCTCAACAAAACAAGGACTCTGATTATCTAGAAAACCTAAATAAAGTTCCGATGACAAAGAGGTAAATAAATAAAAACTGATGTATTCTATCAAATTATTTAAAATCTTCTACCATGAGTTAAGTCTATAAAGGCTAGTAACATACCAGCTTGAGGAATATATTATGCAGGGAAACATCATGACTATTTATACATGCTAAATGATAACCATTCATCACAGACTCATAAGTAACAGTTACCATGATACTATGCTGGGCCATTAGTTATGTATTAACTAACTCGAAATAGACTAGTATTTCAATACCATACCCTGTTTCATAGATCTCTTTATTGCCCCTTTTCTTTTCCTTAAGTATAAGCATGAGTATGATGGTAAGACGACAAATGTAATTTTTTGTAGATTAATAGGGAAATAAAGTATAACATTTCTACTCTGCATAATTCAGATTGACAGGGGATCCCTGGGTGGCGCAGCGGTTTAGCGCCTGCCTTTGGCCCAGGGCGCCATCCTGGAGACCCGGGATCGAATCCCACGTCGGGCTCCCGGTGCATGGAGCCTGCTTCTCCCTCCGCCTGTGTCTCTGCCTCTCTCTCTCTCTGTGTGTGTGACTATCATAAATAAATAAAAAATTTAAAAAAATCAGATTGACAAAAACAATACAACCACAAAGACACATAGATAAAAATCTAATCACTAAATCTTTGACATGGTAAATCTAATGGTGATGTTAGGCAAAGACACATGAATGTGCCATAAAACACATGCAACAAAGTGTATCCAAAGTAGGAATAAACTAAGATACAAAGAATAGGAGCATATACATGTATTAAAGAAGTACTAGGGGCAGCCCTGGTGGCTCAGCGGTTTAGCGCCGCCTTCAGCCCAGGGCATGGTCCTGGAGTCCCGGGATCCAGTCCGACGTCGGGCTCCCTGCATGGAGCCTGCTTCTCCCTCTGCCTGTGTCTCTGCCTCTCTCTCTCTCTCTCTCTCTCTCTATGTCTATCATGAATAAATAAATAAATCTTTAAAAAAGAAAAGGAAGATAACCAGATACTATAGAAGATATCACCGAGATCAATTGTAATTACTTTGGATAGTTTAAGTACCAGTAGATAGTCCCTGTAAGTAGAAATTCATTCATTCATTCACTTACTTATTTAGAATTCCACCTACTTTATGACTACTAGAGCTAAGCTGACTGGAAAAATCACCTCTGACATCCAGGGAAACCAACACATATGAAAAGGCAATGGTTTTGCACATACAGCCTCAATTATGTGTCAGTCAACTCAAGCAACCATTATGTACTCAATAATAGCTATGACACAGCTCTGGACACCAGCAGCACTATAAGCAGGCAGACACAGGCAGCCTGCTTATACTGATGTTTCTAGTGTTAACATTATTTTTTTTTAAGATTTTATTTATTCATGAGAGAGACACCACACACACACACACACACACACACACAGGCAGAGGGAGAAGCAGGCTCCATGCAGGGAGCCCGACGTGGGACTCGATCCCGGGCCTCCAGGATCAGGCCCTGGGCTGAAGGCGGCGCCAGACCGCTGCGCCACCCAGGGATCCCCAAGCGTTAACATTCTTAAGAAGCGTGGAAAACAGTAACGATACACCGTCGTCCTCAGTAGAACTTCACAGTAGTGCTCTGTTAGATTTACCTCCGTTTGTTTTAGCCAGACTGTACAGAATAACACGGTCTTAAGAAATAACAGCACGGTGTCTTAGAGGAGAAGGACACGTAGGACGCCAGGGTGAGGACAGACTTCTAATTGTTGCGATTGTCGCGAACATAACACCATTTTCCTGAACATTAGAGCCTCTGTGGACGGTAGTAGCTACACTAACACAGAAAAGGGCTGCTTTGAAACTTTAAGGTCTCGTTCGCGTACACAATAGCGTAACAACGTAAGCAGAAGAAAGACTTTTAAACGCGGCGGCTTACGGTAACACCGGGGGAGGCAGCTTATCCTTCGGGAGGCACGAGGATAATAAGCTTATTGATAAGCGCTTATCGAGTCCGATGCGTCTTCAAAGCAGGCTACAATCCTTACCGCAGCACACCCTTGTGAGGTAAGTGTATTATCATCTGTGGCTCATAAATGAGAGAGCTGAGGCGCCGGATGATCCAGTCACTTGCCCAAGGGGAATGAGTCAACGTCAGGAGTCCTAGTTGACGGACCTAACTAACTCCGGAGGGTCAGTCCAGGGCTCAGTCAGCGGGGCCCGGAGTGGCTTCCCTGGCTGGCACCTGGACTTGGGCTATTTCCACTCACGTCAAGGGAGAGTAGTGGCACCGACCGGGCAGAACTTTCAAATAATTTTTCCTTCCCCTCAAGGTTCAGCCCTGAGCTCTTAATCTCGGGAGCTGGGTGCATCCCCCTCCCCCAGCCCGTGGCAAGTGGGTACTGCGGGCGGCTCGCCCCCCCCCCCCCGCCGCTCGCAGTGACCCCCAGCGTTAGCAGAGCCGGGGGACGGGGGAGGGCCGGCTGCCTCGCCCCACGACTCTCCATCGCCGCCTCTTCCTGAAAGCCAGAGAAAATGGTGGGAAGCCAAACAAAATCCAGATAAACAGGCAGCTAGCTTGTCCTGGGACCTCAGCTAAGCAAATGAAGCCTCCCTGCGCGCGCTGAGCCTGCAGCGCCCAACTTTCCGGGGAAGATGGGAGGACAGGGCAACAAAGGGCGCAGCCGGCATGCCCGCCAGTAGGCGCGACAGCAGCTCTCCGGGCGGAAGAGCACGGGACTGAACACCGACCTCCAGCACGCCGGGGTCCGCCGCCGAGAACCGCGCACCCTACCCACCAAGCCACGTGACCAGTCTTTTCTTTCTTTTCTTTTTTCTTTTTTTTTAAACTTCTTTGCCCTTAAAAAAAAAGAGAGAGAGAGAGAGAGGGGGAGTGAGCGAGAGAGACTCCACTTCCCAGAAGCCTCTTGTTCCCCACGCAGCCGCAGTCTTGCGCAGGCGCCGCCGGGGCCAAACGGACGCGTCCGTCACGTGGACAGGAGCCGGCCAATCCGGTTTGAATCTCATTTTTTTCCTCTCACCCCCCCCTTCAGGAGCGGTTGTGCGATCAGATCGATCTAAGATGGCGACTGTGGAACCGGTGAGTACTGCCTTTGGCCCCCACCCCCACCGGTCCCCGCGCTCCGTCTCCCTTCGGACTGGGGGACCCCGCGGGGCGGCGTTCCCGGCGCGCACGCTACCTCTTGCTGCCCCCTCCCCCTCTCCTCGGGCCTGACCTCTCCGCGGGCGACCGGGAGTGCCCGGGAGGCTGGCCGCGGCGGCGTGTAGCGCACACGTTCCAGTGGGGGCCCGAGAGCTGGGGGAGCGGGGTGGGGGAGGGGCGGCACGGAGCCTCCTGCGGCTCCGCGAGGTCGTCTGCTAGGGTGCAGGGTGCTGGGGGCCCTCGGCTAGGGGTGTGCGGTTTGTGTCTTGGGGTTGGAGGGGCTCAGGACTGGCTCCGAGCGGGCGCCGGGATCCGCAGGAAGGGTGGGCGGCAAGCCGGCCTGGAATGAGATGGAGGAGGGAGCTCCGGGGCAGCCTTGCCGTGCTTCCTTGGCTCCCGAGCCCCAGCCCCGGGGTTCGCGTGCTAGGCGCGCGCGGGTCTTCTTCAGACCGGTGGGCCAGGGAAGCCGGTGGGCGCGCGTTGCCGGAGGGTGGGTTGGGCGGGCGGGAGTGGTGCCGCGGCACGCGCGGAGAAGCTCCGACCTCGCCGAGGGGGAGCCGAGGGGGAGCCGAGAGGGGCAAGCGCATGTTACTCCAGCGCGCCCGAGAGTTGCCGGGGTTGGCGGCAGGGGAGGCGAGAAAGGTTTGGGGTGGGGAGGAGGACCTCGTGTTGCGCGGTAGAGCTCTCGGAGTAGGGTGAAGGGTGGTGGTGGTGAGAAAGGGGGATCACATTGTCCTCTCCGCTCCATGCTTGATACTGGGCTGTCATGGAGGAGGGAAGGGGGAGGAGCGAGGCCTACTGATCGCGGCTGCTGCTGGTCTGCTGCCGGCCGGACCTGCTGCATTTCACACGCGCCTGTCTTCCATTCATTCATCCTTTTCCGCGCAGTGCGCACGGCTCCGAGAATGCGGATGGGTCTTGATCCGTCCGTTCTCCCGAGCCTTTCTCTTCTGAAAGATTTCTGAGACACGGTTTATTGGAAATGGGAACTTAACTTTTAAAATTATTTTTTTTTCTTTTCTTTTCTTTTTTCTTTCTTTCTTTCTTTTTTTTTTTTTTTTTTTTGACTCGTTATAACGCTTTCCTTTCAGTTTAGGCACCGTCTTAAACTCAGTTGAAGCAAGCCGACTCCTGAACAGTAATTTGGTAGTTACCGCCCAAAGGAGAGGATATCTTTGTCAGAGTTTGGGTTTGCCAGCCCTGGCTCCCTGAAACTTACACGCCTGTGTTGCTGTTTTAGGATTGTCACATCTAAGTGAAATTGTTTTAGAGGCATAATGGAATATTTTAACCACCGGAAGACCTTTGACACGCTGGAACCAGTTCTGGACCTTGGTTGCCGGATATTTTTGTGTGTCTTTAATGATAGTTTGTGATTTTGATGATGACTTTTACCAACTTGTTGTGACTTTTTAAAGACTTCATAGCTAGCTCAAGAATTCTATAAACCTCGCGGAAGGTTTATAGAGTACAAAAAGACTAATTTTTCATTACGTTGGTGTGAACTATCCTTTGCTTGTTGCCAGAATTTAAGGCAGCTCTTCTGCTTGGTTACTTGTTTTTTTATTGGTACGTGTTCTCATTTACGTTCTGCAAAACTGTCTTTTAATTTGCTGATACAGTTAACTGACTTTAGAACATTAATGTTACATAAATAAAAAGGTAAAGGATGACTATGAAAATATTCTCTTTTAACAGTTTCCCATGCCCACTTTTTACTGGATCTGCTCTCCTGACCACTGTACCAGTATCGTTAAAAAAGCATTACAGCTGGTTATAGGGGCAAGGCTAAAACCTCTAAACTGTGAAATAATAACGCATTCTGTGAAGTTTCAGTAACATTTAGGTCCTTTGGATTTTGCAAAGCTATGCAGTTTTGTTTAAATAGCACAGAATAGACCTACAAAGTATTGAAGGACTGTTTTGAGTCAGTAAATATTTATAGCCTCTGTTATGTTTAGGAGGTTATACCAAATGTTCCTTAGAACACAAAGTTATACAGAATGTGATTCTATACCTTGTTGAGTGTAAGACTCTTTAGGTTAGTTCCCAGTGGTGTGGGGGTGATAGATTAATAGTATTCATTCTAGTGCTGACCCAGGGAAATTTGGGTGCTGCATTTAAATTTGGGGAGTAGGGAACCTAAAAACCCAAAGTGTGTGAAAGTAGAAGGCCTGTAGTAGTTTTAACTTCTATGAAAAATACACTGATGTGTTCATTCTTAGAATGGCAAAGTTTTAGCACTTTGAATGCACCTTTTTCACAGGTTAGTCTTTCAGAATTCTTTGATTTTTAAATAGCGGGAGCTGTGGGTTTTTTGTTGTTTTTTGTTTTGTTTTGTTTTGTTTTGTTTTTACAGCAGCTGATTAGTACTGAAGCCTACAAAAACCATATTCATATTTGTTCATTGCTATATCAACTAGGTTGTGAGTTTCCTTACTGCTTTTATATTGAGCATAATCATAAGCACTTAAAAGAGTCATAGGCTTTTCCTCCTTGTCCCACCTTTCATTGGTATTTGGGGAATTTTTATCTATGGAAATTACATAAAATACAGTCCTTTTCAATTCAATATTATATGATTTTCTTCAAGTGTGTGTAAGAGGTCAGTTACCTTAAGATGTGGATTACAAATTCTAAGTTTTTTGAGCAGCTTGATAGGGCAAATTAAAGGAAGCATTTTACCTTTTTATAGGTAATATGGCACAGTTTTGAACATTGAGATAAACAGTGCTTTCCTGTTATTCTTTTGGCATTTGAATTGTGGCTAGGTCAAAATTAGACAATATTGTGAAGATGGCAAGACAGTTTTCCCAGGCCATCTTGCTTCCAGTGGCTCATATTTCTTTGTAGCTTTGTCTTCATTCCGTGTTCTTGGGGTGTTCTCTGACTTACAGTTCTTTAAGATAAGAGGTTCTTTAATTTATTTTTTTAAGTTAAACTGAAGGTATATAGTTTAACTTGTTTTTACATTGTATCTCTTGGATTTTAAGACTACATTAATTGCTTAAATGGAATCAACTTGGACAGTCTGCTAATCAAATGTTTCCATTTTTACTCTTTAGAAACATGTTCTGCAAAGAGTTTATTAAAAGTAAATAAGACTTAAAAATAATATTGACAAATGCATTGTATATAGTTCAGTGTTTTGGGTTTATTAAAGACTGCTGATTGACAAGCGGACCTTGCAAATTAATGTGTTTTTGCCTTAATGAAAGAACCTAGTACATGTATCAGAGTTTATTCATAAACCAAATAAATTTGATTCTGGTTTTTATCTTTCAAATTTCACTTGATTTTACACTTTGAGTTAATACTGTACTATGCATAATTGTTTGACTTAGTTCCAGTTTATAAAGCAGTCATAGTTTATACACTGAAGTTGAAGAGAATACAGTGTTGAATGAATTTGGTAAGCTTAATCCAATTTGGACAGCAAATTCTAGGCAAAATTTGAAATATATTGTTTAATTTATATAAGGTTAAGAATGTAGTAGAGTACCTGGATGTAACAGGGAACTTGTGAAATGGTTATTCTAGCAATGGTAATTTCTACTTTTCTTTCTATGCTACTCCTTGGAAATTTTCTTGCTCTTCTGGTACTTGTAAGTTTTTCCATCTTTGTTATAGAAATTTGAGAGAGGTGAAAATGAGCGTGGAGTATAGTCTGATTTTAATATGTGTGACCTTGACTAAATTTCTAAGTCTAGCTGAGAAAATGGGAATAAGATATCTTGCAGTGATTTTGATTTTCAAATTCAGTATTCAGAGATGACAGTTTGTCAGTTAGGAAGAACTAGGTATACCAAGTTCATAGTCCATGAATGTGTTGCATGCAGGTGTATTATGCATACATCTACTCACCTTTTCCCCTCTTTGCTAAGAAATTCACATAGCCATTTTTTGATTGTTAATCCCTAGTCGTTGGCAAGAAATGAAAGGCTTGTGATCTGCAATCCTGAGATACTCTTCTCGCTCCTATACCTATCATAAAAATCAGTAGTGTTCCTTCAGAAGTTCCTATTTATATCTGGAGAAAAAAGAAAAGATTACTTTTGGCTTTCAGGTGCCTGAGAACCTGGTCAGAAAATAAGGTTTTTCCTCCGGGTTGGAACTTTTGATACATTATTCCATAGAAACAATGGGAAGCTCTAATTTAGTCACATTGTTCAATAAGTTTCTGTGGCCTTAGGACAAATCTAACCAGTATTGGATTTCCAGGGATATGGGTTTAGAGTTCTAAGCAACTGCCTTAAAAATGATCTTTAACTACAACCTCTTTGTAACAGTGATTTTTTTTTTTTTTTAATGTAGGCAGATCTGTATTTTCTAAAGAATTTATTTGAGAGAGAGAGGGAGAGCAGGGAGGAGATAGCGAGGGAGAGGCAGAAGCAGGCTCCCTGCTAAGCAGGGAGGCTGACTTGGGATCAGTCCCAGGACTGTGGGACCATGACCTGAGCCCAAGGCAGTTGCTTAACCAACTGAGCCACCCGGGCACCTCTTTATTTCTTTATAATAGCTACCTTATAGCACTTCTATATGTCAGGTACCACACTGAGTATTTTTACATATATGAATTCATTTAATCCCACAGCAGCCCTATGAGTTAGGCATTATTATCCTTAAATCAAATGAGAAAACCAAGGCACAAAGAGATTAAGTAACTGTGTGTGACTAACTTGCTCAAGATCACACAGCTAATAAATGGTGGGGTGGAGTTCTAACTAAAGCAGCCAAATTCCAGAGTATGTGTTCTTAACCATGACCCTGTCTTTCCAGTAGCCATGTAATATGTTTTCTTATGTGATTTGGGAACAATAATTTGATAAACTTTCTAGGTATTTTGCTGTAGTTCTAAATGAAAATATGTGGACATTTTAGGCTCTTCTGTACTACAGTATTTGATAACTGATAACCAAAGTACAGTAAGAAAATAG